GCCCCAGGCAGAGGGCCGTGATGGCTCGCCCGGAGCCAAGGGCCAAAGACAGCCCATCCCGAGCAGGGCAACATCCCCAATGGGCAGGCTGGTACACTCCCCCTCTAATTGCCCCCACCCCAATCTGGTCCCCTCACCTGACCGAGGCCTGTGTGGCCAGGGACAGTGTCTCCAGTTCCAGCACCACCACTTCCCCCCCATAAGTGGTCATACTATAATTTGAAGTAGGTGTCACTGCCCTCCCCCTTTATAAATGGCAAAGAGAACCTGAGAATTGTGAACAGGCTCCCCCCAGGTCTAAACAGCTTTTGGCAGAAGCATTCAACAGATCAAAATATGTGGTGCATTTAGGATGTTGGTCCTCTTGGACATGCTGCCACTGTTAAGTGTCATCATGTAGACAACTCACAGTGACTTTCAACAATCCATTGTATAGGTGATCATCTCTGGTTTTCCAAGGAAACCCAAACCTGTAGGCGGCGGGGCACACGCCCCCCCCACGCGTGGTGGAGCATGCGCCCTATCTTCCGTGCGGGAGGCCAGTGGGCACGCACCACCCCCTAGTGCGGGCGACTGGCGGGAGCTTGCCATCTCCCATGCGTCATCTCCCACGCAGGTGGCCGGTGGGCATGTATCATGTCGTGCGGGGGCAGCCATTGGGCGCCATCCCCCAGTGTGGGTGGCCAGCAGGTGGCCGTCATCTCACGCGCGGGCAACCAGTGGGGGTGCATACGAGCGTGCCATCCCCCAGCGCAGGCGGCTGGTGGGCGCACGTCATCTTGCAGGCGGGCGACCCCCGTGTCATCTCGTGCACAGGAAGCCGGCAGTTGCACACCATCCCCCAGAGTGGATGGCCAGCAGGCACGTGCCATCTCCCACACGTATGACTGGTGGGTGCGTACCATCCCCCAGGGTGGGCTGCCGGGAGCATGCAATCTTCCACATGGGTGGCTGGCAGGCCCAAGCTATCTCCCGAGTGTCGTCTCCCACACATGCGGCTGGCAGGCGTGTGTCATCTCGTGCGCGGGCAGCAGGTGGACGCGCGCCATCCCTCCGCCCGGGTGGCTGTTGGGCAAGTGCCATCTTCTACGTGAGTGGCCTGCGGGCGCAAGCCATCTCCCGCGGGTCATCTCCCACACGTTACTTCAATTTTGTCATTGTATGTGAATACATGGAGATTTTACCAGTTTAGAGTTAAAACTGACATAGAGTGCTAATTGCAAGGTATAATATTTTTGTTCAGATATCATGTATTTGCATATGAGTAGTTGGTGGTCTGTTCCACAATCAGCTCCTGGCCTAGTTTTCACAGCTGATATTGAGCTTCTCCAGCGGTTTTTTCCACAG